TCCTTCTCTATATCATGATCCAGGTCTCCCCCTGGCAATACATCCTCACAATGGCCCCCTATCCTTTCCTTTCTATGGCTCATTTACTGCCCCCCTGCTGTATTTACTAGTATTTATTGTATTTCAATCTCTATTAGCTGACTCACTCTTTGAACTTACATTTGTAATGCATGCACATTCCAGATTCTCCTTTGATTTATCTTGCACTATGGATATTGTGTCAACTACATTTTTATTTTGCTTGCTATGAGTAGGCCTCCTTGTGTCTTGGCCCATTGTGATTGTTCTTGTTCTTTTATGTACCTTTTCCTTTCTATGACTTTAAGAAAAGTCATAGAATAATAAAAATACAATTCCAAAAAAAAAGTGCCTGAACAGGGCAGGATAACCAGGTATTTTTAAAAAAAAAGGCTCTAGACTTAAAATATTGAAAATTAGTTTTGAAAAGACACTAATATTATAAATCCTGTAAGAGATTTTATTTATTGGGTTATATATTATACTGTTCAATAGAATATTATACCTTTCTTGCCAAAGATAGGTCCACATACTTGTTTTTAATTTATCTTCATTTTGGTGCTCTTGTAATGGTCAAACTATAATAGTATTACCAAAAACAATAGCAATAAATGTGTGTAATAAATCTAGAATGTATAGTAATCCTTGCTGGTGGTATTACTGTAACAATGTTTTGATTGCTCAAGATTTAAGATTACTTATAAGTAAGTCACCATTTAAAATGTATTACTTAACATACCTAACAACCATATTTAATGTGATGTATCCAAAAACAGACCTGAAATATACATTGTTCTACCTTTCACAGGATATATTACCCCACATAATTCATACTTTTATAGATACATTTCAGTGACAGTTATATATTCTGAAGAACTTGTTTCATACTGCCATATGTGTGTATTCACGTATAATTAGATTCCAATTTTGGATACACTTCTGCAATATAGTCCATAGTTATGGCCGATATTTTAAGATCATACAACAGATGTATAAATCCATGAACTTGAAAAAATCAAGTGCAATGCAAAAGAATTTCCCCTTTAAAATTCCTAATTTCACCCAGATAAAACAGCCTATTCAAAAATTGTTTTACAAATGGGCATAATCAGACACATTAAAGTGAAAGATAAGGCTAAAAGTCTGCTAAAATGTGCTGCCTCCCTCTCCTACTGTGCTGCATAAAAGAAAGCAGTATAAACAGGGCTGCCATTAGAAATCACGGGGCTCTGTACAGCCTATCTGAAAGCCCCTCCTCCCCTGGCAAAAATATCAAACTGATATTTTCACTACAAATACATGAAAATCATTATTAGTAGACACAAACAGAACATAATGTGCACAATTCCTGCTAAAAAGATAAAACTGTATTAAATTAATAAATAAAGTTATGTGTGCAAATGAGGTCTTGAAGATCATTCAAACGGGCACTGTGGGCTATAAAGTGTTAATAAGTGTTGTTGGTTTTTTATGTGGCTATTGATTCCAGAGCGAAGATAAATAAATCCCTCCGCCTCAAAAAATTCTTCATTAATCAGCACATGCCCTTCCTAAGCATAAATTCTATCCCTATACAAAAATGCAAATATATCCCCTCCTCCCATTTCAAATCCCCCCTCCCAGCACAAATCATTGCCCCCTCCCAATCCCACCCCAATTCCCCCATTTAGAAGAAATCTCCCTCACCCCAAAAATCACCTCCCTAGCACACAGCCTTATTCTTCTTTTCCATCCTAGCACAAATCTTCCCCTCCAAATCTCCCCTCCCAACTCGAATCCCCCCAATCCCTCCTCCTAGCACAAATTTACCCTAATCCCTCCTCCAAGCACAAATCTCCCCAATTCATCCTCCTAGATCATATCCTTCCCCCAATCCCTCCCCCTAGCACAAAATTCCACTCAATCTCTCCTGCTAGCAAAAATCCCACCCCATCGCAATCACCCCTACCAGCACAAATCCCCCCCAATTCCTTCTCCCAGACCATATCCCTCCCCAATTCCTCCTCCTAGTACAAATACTCCAATCCATCCTTCTAGCACATATCCCCCTCAATCCCTCCTTCTAGCACAAATCCCCCCAATACCTCCTCCTAGCACAGATCCTCCCAACCCCCTTCCCATCACAAATCTGCCCCATATTCCTCCTCCTAGCATCAATCCCCCCTCTCAGCACAAATCTTCCCAATATCTCCTCCTATCACCCCCCCCCCCCACAGTTTCTACTCCTAGCACAAATCCTTCCAACCCCCCCCCCTTAAGCACAAATCCCCCACCCCCCTCCTAGCACAAACATTCCCAAAATCCCTGCTCCTGCCTCAAATCCCCCCTAACCCTCCTCCTAGCACTTATTTCCCCCATTCCTCCTTGTAGCAAATATCCCCCCGCACCCCCAAATCCCCATTACACTTCCCAGTACAGGTAGATGCCCATCCCCCCTCCTCCACAAACATCCCAAGCACAAACTATTATTCCCCCTTCATTGTGTACAATTTGCCTGTAAGCTTGAAACCTTACCCCATTAAACTTACAGGGGGAAACCATCACAAAGCCAGGAGGAGGTGCACTGTGTTGTGCTCACCCCACCTATCAGAACAGCACTTTTCCATACAGAACATGAGACAGGATCGCTCTTAGCTCACATCATACTTTAAACATACAGCATAACACACCTCACCCTTGCTCTTTCCTCTCCGCCACTTCTTTTTTCACTTCTCCAGGCTGCTGTCCCATTGTGCTGACTCTGAGTGTGGGCAGGGATGGGGGAAGGAGCTCAGCATCCTCTCAGGCACAACATCCAAGGGAGGGCTGGCCTGGGGTGGGGGCACAACTGAAATCTGGGTGGGTGCAGCCCACCCCACCCTAGCACCCCCCTAAATCCGACAATGTCTGTATCTCTCCCTCCAGTAGCTGAAAGCCGGGGAGAGGAAGAAGGGAAGAGGGGAGAAATCAGCTTTAAGCTCCTGCAGGGAGATATACACAGTGCATGGTTCTGCAATGTCCCTCCCCCACTCCATTGATTCCCGTGCTGTTCGGGCCTCCCTGTTTGCACAGACCCCCCTGTGTGCCTAGGCTAGGAGTACTGGTAGTAGTCCCCTAATGACAGCCCTGAGCATAAACACCTTTTTTAATCTATCTTAAGCATGGTAATGTGATCCAGAAGCAGGGGCTCTCCTGTTTTAGGGAGTGACCAACAATGGAGCTTAATTCACTGAGCCATGACCTCACACCCCAGATTTCATTGCCTTTCATAGAAGAACACTGACATAGAGAAACCACTACTTCTGGTGACCACACCAAAGCAGAATAAAAAAAATGTATTTAAAGAAATGTGTTTATACTGTTTTGTTATATAATTGGTATAGAGCATAGGTAGAAGGAGGGGGAGACAACATTTATTATGCAGACTTACATTAGCCTATATTCCCTCTTTAATAGTGCTCTCCAACAGTTAGTGGTGAAATTAAAGAATTATTGTTAGAACTGACTGCATACAATTTAGGAGTTACTGCAGTTCCCTGACAAATTACTCCACTTTCCAGAAAATAAAGATATGACATATAGAGAAAAGTGGATTGAGTATCCTCAAAACCTGTCAATGACTGACATAAGTTCTCAACAAAAGATTACTTTCCGGTTGCTCTGCTGACTCGCTGGCTATTTGTTACAGAGGATACATGGTGTCTTTATCTTCGCATCTGTTCCAAATCAGAGGAATATCTGCCAGCAATAGTCTTGAAGAGGTATCAGTTGGTTTTTGAAACATCTGGTTTAAATACCAAATACACTTACCTTCCTTGTTCACTTCTTTCTTGAAAATTTTCAGCTTGAGTTTAGTTTTTGTCTCTATCCAGGAACAAAACTATTTTGTAGTAGTTATTTTAACTTTTAATTTTTAACTTTTCACTTTTAATAAAATGTGGCTCTCTTGCATGGCTGTCTTCTTTGTATCAACAGTACTCGGTATATGCATTCTAAGCAGAAAAACCACTATTTTTAGATCTCCACAGATATTTTAGTGATACTTGGTATATTGGATGTACTTCAGCAACAGTTTCTTGTTTTTGTATGTTTCTTTCATGTGTGAAGCATAGTCAATAAGTAATAAAGATTGCAAAATGCAAACATAGAAGATTTCTATAAAATGGTCTATGATAGGCTAAATTACAGGTTATACTTGCTGAACAGAATCACATTCTTTTTGAAGTGAAGCTGTTTTGAAGGCAGAGAGTAGGCATATTCCAACCAGAAATATTAACACTGTACACATCTGAGGCACAGAATTTAATTATTCTTTTAATAGGAGACAATTTGGGAGGGAGAAAGTAGGCAATTATCAGACAAATATGATGTGATGAACTAGGATTGCAGAGAGAGCGCACACGGGGGCAGATCACACGAAACCCGATGGGTGGGTGTTTATTGGGGAACTCGGGGTACAGGCAATAGAACAACTAGTCCACAGACCAAGGCAGGACACAGGAATGAAGAATGATTCTTGGGGTGGCCCTATGGGGCAGCAGAGTGCAGAGAGTTCACAGGGCAAACTGGGCAAAGCATCAAGGGCACAGCAGGAAGGTAAGTCCTCAGCTTAGGCAGGGCACAGGGGTTAAGCCCTGAAGCAGAACCGGGTGACGTCTGGCACACAGGGCACAGGGTTCCGGACAGAATAGGGTAGAGTCCAGCACACATGGCAAAGGGTTCCGGGCAGACCAGGGTTAAGTCCAGCACACAGGGCAAAGAGTTCCGGGCAAAGCAGGGTTAAGTCTAGTACAGGGATAAAAATGTTAAGTCCTGAGCTACTAGCCATGCCTTAAGAGTTACTCGCCACCAACAAACACACACAAACAGAGACACCTGTACACACACACAGACATGTACATACACACACAGAAACATGAACACACGCACAGAGACACATGTACACACACACACATATACAGACACATGTATACACACAGATACATGTACATACACACAAACACATGTACATACATACACAGACAAATGTACATACATACACACAAACACACACACACATGTACACATACACAGACACATATACACACACACATACATGTACATACAGGCAGGCACATGTACAGATACACACATGTACATACACACAGACACATGTACATGCATACACAGACACACACATGTACACACATACACACACACCCTATAAAAAGTTGCAGTACTTCGTTGTTCACTCACAGAGCTGGGTACTGCACTCTAGAGAGAGGCAGAGAGCACAGCACACACTCCTTCCTTTGCTTTCACTGCGCTCAGCTATTGAGCAGTCTGACGGCTCCCAGTGCCAATGACAGATCTGGCCTGAGCTCCGAGCCTGCTCAGCAAGACAGCCATGGGGGACACATTCGCCCCCACCATAATTTCCACTCGCCATTGGCGAGCAGGCGAGTGGAAATTTCAAGGCCTGGTCAAGCAGATGGGGCAAAAAGTTATGGACAGAGCAGGATTACGTCCAGTAAAGGACTACGGGCAGTGTACAGTTACTCCAGCATGCAAGGCAGCATCCAGGCATGTAAAAGTTAATCCAGCACACAGGGAGAGAATTTGGTCAGGAAAGGATTAATCCAGCATGCTAGGGGAAGATCAGCACAGGCTAACAGCCCACCACAAAAGGTCAAGTACAGAGAATGTTCTGGACTCATGGGACAGATGGGTGTGGGGTCTTGCTGCAGCTCAGGATCACATACAGCACACAGGGTAGAAGATGGAGTAGTCAGCAAGCGGACTCACACTGTCCCTGGGTCTTGCACCGGCTTTTAATGCCTCAATTGTGCTTTTGCCCATTGCCCAGATAACCTGAAGCTTGGTGTCAGGTTACCATGGCAAAAGGCACCGCTCTTTCTGTGCAGGGAGTGTAGACTTTGTCTCCAGTGACCAGCCGAGTGTGTGAAAGAGGGATCACTCTGTGCCCGTAAAGACAGGAGAGTGAGTGGTGACAGTAGGGTGGGCTGCATGTGGTGAATCCACATGCAGGCACAGCAAGGGCGACAGGATGTTGCCTCTGCAGGGGGAAGTCCTCTGGTGGCAGAGGGGTTTGAGGAGGTTTGGGGGGTAGCAGCCAGATGGGAGGGGTGACTGTGCCTGTGACATACGACATGAACATTTCTTTTCAATTATTATCTAAAAATTGAACAGTTCTGATGCACAGAATCACTTTGTAATCCAAAGAAGTATCAGAAATAGGAAGAAGTCATATTTAAACTAGCAATAAGAGACTGGTATTTTTCAAAGACATTACATTGCATTCCTAAGACATCCATGACAATAAAATTACACAGTAATTTATTTTATTGACAGGTTGTAAAGATTTCATGCACAGAATGTCATCCTTTTAGGTAGAATTATATTTTCTAAGGAGGGAGAGGTCATATTTCAGCCCCAAATTATCAAATGTATTTTTTAATACAAAATTTGAACATCATATAGATCTGTTTAAAACATTAATTGCGTTATTAATAATTTTCCATAGAAAGCAATGAATGACAGAGTAGACTCCATCTTTATTTAAAAAAAATTGTAATACTTCTGTGGCAAAAGGAGAAAAAAAGGTGTACGAATTAACTGCCAACATGAAGAATATGCCGTATTTTGGCCACAGTCAGGAAATGAGAAGGGATGTTTTGCTTTTAAATAATCAGGCCTCTACGTTAAATAGCACGTATGCAAAATTATTCTAGATCACGCCAGTAAAAAAAATGAAAGCAAACAAACTAAGAGAATGACACAGAGACATCGGGTTTGATTTACTAGAACTAGAGAGTGCGAAATGTGATACAGCTGTGCATGGTATCCAATCAGCTTCTAACTTCCTCTTCTTCAATGAAGTGCTGATGAAAAAAAAAGAAGCTGATTGGTTTCTATGTAGAGTTCCACCAGTTGCACTTTTCAGTTTTAGTAAACCCCAAAGTGTTGTCCATGATGATACCATAATAAAATGCAAACGTAATGCTTATGCTTCTTCTGCAAGGGAAGGATAGACTCTATGAATTACCACTTGTAACATGGATCTAGGAAGGTTTCTAACCAGCAATGGTCCCTCTCTTTGTTGCCAGGGTCCATTTACTGGGTCTGAAGCACAAACAAGCTTACCATCATAGGTTTCTGGAGGTGGAAGAACCCAAGTCCTCGGCAATGCTGAGGATAAAATTTAAAAAAACAAATTTCATCATAAATTTAGGTCAACATGTATTATTCCAAATGTCTTTGCTAAACAAAAACCCAATACATGTAAATTAATTGGTTTACATGAAAGTTATAACATTTACAAATGACGATATATATAGGAACTTTTTTATTTATTTATTTTATACTAGTAATGGGAGTGATCAGTGACTTTTAGAGGGACTGTGGGACTGCGGTGGGCATTCTGACACTGGATGGCAACTGAATAACTGTCACTGACATCCCCAGTGACACTAATACAATGATCAGTGCTAATAAAAAGCACTGACACTGTACTAATGACACTGGGCAGGGAGGGGCTAACATCTGATGCGGTCAAAGGGTTAACTGTGTGCTGTGTGAGTTTCACATTATGTGCCATGTGCTGTTTTACAATGGAGACATGCTGCTTTGTATTTCTCTGCTGTGCAGAGAAATACAAAGCAGCATGTCCTTGATGACAGGAGAGAGACCTATGCTGTTTACACACAGGTCTCTCCCCTGTCAGCTTTCCCCAACGATCACCAAGTGCCAGCGGGGAAACGCTGGCCGGGACCCAGGTATTGACATCTCTGGGCAGGCAATGGCAGTGTGGGTAGGGAGGCAAGTGCACCCCCTACCCAGAAATGTAAAACACGTATATTTAAGTGATTTTGCACATCCCTGATGCTCTGTAGCAGTACTTCTACTATAGGGCATCAGGAAAGTGGTTAATAACAATATTCCCTCCCAATCTAAATCTTAGAGAGCAACACTCAGCCTTGGAAAATTAAAATTAGGTGTTTTTATCTTTCCAGCATGTGCTTGTTGTTTACAGCTAACATTGAATGAAATATGTTATGGTCACTGCTACCAGATGTTCTTTTATATGAACATTAGCATCAGGATTTACATTGTTTGATATTACCAGTTCCAGCAGAGCATCATTTCTAGTTGTGACTTCTATAAACTGTACTATAAAATCTTCTTGTAATAGGTTCATAAATTTGCACAATGTTGCTGCTGGCCTGAGTGCCTGAAAAGCCAAAAGCCTGAATGTCAAAAAGAAAAATAACTAAAAAACAACCCCAAATAGCAACACTAAAACATTACTACACTAGTATAAACAAAACTTTTTTTAAAATTATAAAATAAAGTGCTAAATACAGTTAGAGGAAAAATAAATTCTGCCAAAAAAAAACAAATTAAAAAAGGGGAACAGCAGCAACATGTTGAGACTTATGAAATGGAGATAAGATTACATTCCACTCTCCCTAACCACACAAACTGCAATTCACTGTAAAGTATCAGTGGAAACATACAACTGACATGAGTTTTGATACTCTCATTGGATGAATGATGTGGAGGGTGACTTTAGTTTAGATTTTGCTTTGTGTTTGGAAACTGGAGAAGTATTTTTTTTCTCTGGATCGTTTGGATCATTTATTTGAGTGCACTAAATCCAATGCTTGACACCAAGGTAAATATTCACTGACATACTGTAAAGGAGAAACTGTTCTCTTTAAAGTAAAAGTATTTTAGCTTCTACCTTGTCCTTTAGCTTGAACCCTCTGGTAGTGATGGACTGATAGAGATGAGGTACAAAGACAATCAAACGATATAGCATAGAAAGAGTAAAAGGAAAAATGGAGAGAGGAAGTGTCAAAAGACTTCATGCCTGGGTAGAGATAGCTGAAAAAACAACTGTGCTGAAAAGTAAAATACTAGCAGACAATGCACCATCAACGTTAAAATGTAAGTGATAAGGAAAGAGATTGCATCCCACTAGATTAAAAATACAGCAACTAATTTATAAACTCACCAAAAACAAAGTATAGTAGAATAAATGCAAGTTTGGCAGCAGGAGGGCATGTGGCAGCCTCCTGTAGAGCTGGTGGATAAAATGAATTAGCCACCCTTAATGGTGCAACACTTCCATGTTACTTCCATTCTCATGCTGAAGCAGAAGAAGATATGTGGAGACCTGCCTAGAACTGATGTAGAATAGATAGTTCCACCCTTACCAGGGTAGATTTACAGAGCAAAAAATGCTGGTTTGAAGTGATGGCAGATGCCATAGAAAGAGTTCACACAAGGAGCAAAGAAGATATTCATACTAAGACTGTGAGAAATCACAGTATTATAATATTTAGCCAATAAAAAACCCACCACTAATGGTGTTCTGGATAACACCTAATTAAGGTAAGGCCTACCGTTCATACCCATTTCCCAGAGACAGTGCCAACTCTGAGGGGTCTGTCCCAGGGAAGCAGGCATTCCTGGCAATGTCCAGGAACCAGGCACCATAGAGTAAACATTGAAGTGTGCAGGCTCCAGCTCCCCACACTTTGCAAGTGTCAATCCAAAATGGAGTAATTGAACTGGCCTGTGTGTGCACAAACATGGGGGGCAGAGGACTAAAGAGAAGGGTGAGGGTGATGAAGTCAGATGCCATATATTAGGGGCATGTATTGGGAGAAATCAGATGCAACTACCAAGCCAATTGAGGAGGTAAACTCTATTTAAATATACTGCAACTGCTGTTTTACCCAGCAACATGTGAATTATTTGCTCCTGCTCTGACCCCTGCCTTCTGTGTGTTACATTTTGCTAACCCTTGAACACTTGTGCATTACTCCTGAATTCTATGCAAATTATCAACGCTCCCAAAAATGGTGGCTTCTCTGCAGACTTTTTAGGATGATCCCACTTGATCAATTTGTGGCTTTTGGCAGATTTTATTTTCCTGACAGGGCCACTTTTAGGACACATTTACATATAAAAAAAGGAAACCTATTTGGTTTTATTAGGGAACAGCAACACTTTTACTCCCATTTTTTCTGACACTCGTTGTAATAAATGCCCATATTCAAGAAATTAACTCTAGAGCTATGTCTGATAAACAGACAAACAATGAGCAAAAGATTAGTCTTCAATTTTGCTTGTTGTCTCCCTGCAACTGATATTTTCTCTGTTAAATTCTTATCATACCTTGATCTGCATTTTTGTTGTGGCTTGGACATGATGAACATGTAATTATTCCCTATAATGTAGAAAATCTTCACTTTTGTAATTCAGGTCCACTTTAACTTATATGAGGGTAAGCTAAAGTAAGGATCACCTTTCCTGGGAAAAAGACAGTCCAAATGACAGGTCTTTCTTAAAATTCTTGAAAAGGTTGCAAAAAAAAAAAAACCAAAGAAAATAAATCCTTGCCAACCAGGCTCTAACTAAACAAGAGAGGTCACACACATGGGAAGGGCTTCTCCTAG